TTGAACGATTGAGTTTTTTTTCTGCTGACAGAACAGCTGAAGTCGTAGTTTTCAAGCCTCTATTCCAAATATTTTTGTTATTAATTAAGTTTTTAATAAAACATAAGAATTAAATTATAGAGCAACATTAATTACCATAAAATGTTAATTATTTGTTTTTCGTTGCAGGTATAAAAAACTGAAAGAGTTGCCGGCTCAAACGGCTGCTAAGTTTAGACTAAAGACTTCTGATTGTGAGCTGTTGAGGAAGCGAACTTCACAGATGCAAACATCTTTGAAAAGAATCATGAAACAGTTATTTAGCATAATGACCAATTTTTGTGGAAGGGTGAACAGTTACTGATAGTTACTGAAAATGATAAAGCGGAAAGCGGATTATTGGCTTTTACAACGTATTTAAATAAATAGTTTTATAGACGTTAACCGGTTTATAATTCTCTTTCCTTACTTACAACCAAATAAAAAAGTAGCATACAGCTAAAAAGACTAAAAGTTTTTATTCAAACTTTTGTCTATAGACAGCTGTAAAACAGGTGTGCTGTATACCGCTTATTGGCTTACATCAATCTATGAATTTGTTATAGAATTCCAATGCAAATGTTGTAGCAGTGAAAAGATTGATAGTCTCAAATAACAGGCAAAGAGGACAGATGCTGACGATAAAATAAAGTGGTAACAAGTCCGGAAAAGAACAAAACTACCACAATTGAGAATTAGTTTTATTTCAAAGCTATTAAAATCAGCTTCTGAAGAGAAGCATAATTTATAATCCTGGATACATTTTTATATGCAATAGTAGTTTTTTCTGGCATTGACAAATGCTAGCTACACTTTTTATGTTTTAAAGAAAAACGCTTAGTTTAGTCTTATTTAAATAGTCTTCTTTTCAACTGATATTGTCAGAAAGTCAAAAGCACCACATATTAACCACAAAATAATGCAGCCAACAATAAGCAAATGCCAGTTATTGCTTTTTATTTTCGCAAAAAATTATCACAAATTATGATCAATTAATCAGCAAACAACTTGTTAGAGTACCTTAAAAACTAGAAATGTATAACAAACTTAAAAAATACTAAAAAAATGCTTTTTTAAACAACATTTTACTGCATAATTGTAGCGTCAGTAATGTTATGCTTAATGACCAAAACAATTTTATTACTGAAAAAATCCATTAAAAAAGCATTCTATATAGACTGTACTGAACGGCTCCGTTTATTCGCTGTCTCGGGTAGCAACCAAAGCATATCTTGTCTGATCGCATCGAACCTGAAACTTGTTCGAAGGAGTATCAACTGCTTCAGAAGGAGAACTTTGAATGCTCGGTACACAGTATGAGTCTTCACTTAAAGGCGTTTTTCTGTCTCGAGTGCACATTTGAATGGCCATTATTATAACAACGAGAATTGTGACTATAAGTCCCAGGAACGGTATAAATGTTAGCCCTGAAAACAGAATTTTTATAATCTTAAATATTTTGAAATAGTAAACGACTGGCAACAGTAATAATATACAGGCTCAGTTTATTTATTTATTTTTCTTCTTTCCTATTTCTTTTGTAGTTTTTTTAGTAATTAATTTGTTAAGCCCAATAAAAAATTATTTAAAAAACCTCTAAAGTTTTCAAATTAAAGAAATGATCGAGTTAAAAACAACAAAAATAGTAAAAATGCATTTGTAAAAGAAGCTCAAACTCATCATTTGTTCTGCATCCATTTTTTCGTATTATTTATTAGTCATTTGACCAAACTTACTTTGTCACCAACATTCCGTAGCTGCTAACTCACCATGACTAAACTACTTTAAAACTGAGTTGCCCATAAGCGTTACTAAGATAAACTAAAGTTTAAGTTTGGAAGCGTGTTCTGAGGTTTAAAAAAGCAATAGCAACAAACTCGTATAAAAAATTATAAAAAGCTGTAAATTTGTTTCTACATATTTGTGTATAAATACTATATATTTATTAATAAATTAGATAACTTTAACAATTTTGTACTGCTAAGGAAAAGAAATTTGAAGATTAAAGTATAAGATGTATGTATTTTTTCTGTAAAAACTCTTTCTATTTTCTTTAACAGCAGTATAAACCATTAAAATCATCCAACCAATTACCAATAAAAAACCGAATTTCACCGAATTTCACAGCTGCAGAAAATAGGACACAGCTTGATACCTTAAAATAAAAATAATAGCCAGAGAAAACAAAAATAGTTACAATTTTTGCTTAGCATTTTTGCTTGTCGATAAAAGAGAGCTGCCGGAGATCGTTCCTGAAAAGAAAGCTAATATTTATTTTGAACAGAGCAATTTATTAGACTTCCAAAGAAGTCAACAAAACCTAGTCTTATGTAATTGACAATCCTAAACGCTTTGCCCAATTTTAAACTTTTAACCTTTGTGATAGTTTAGCAGACAAAAAAAGATTTTTTTCAATTTTACTATGATATTATGTAGCTTAAAAAAACAAATATTTTTTCCAAAGTTACAAATTAACATTTTACAACTACTAACAGCAAAAACAAATTATTTTAAACCCAGAATGTTCACTGAAAATATTGAAAATACAAAAACACTTATGTTACAATTATTTTCAATAACACCAGCAAAATCGACATAAACTTTAAAAACTCAATACTCAGGTAAAATTGGCAAACAAGAAAAAACGTCTTTTCTGCATTTAGAAATTTTTTTCGTAGGCGTCTGAACACAGTTTAAATCGATTTTATTACTCATTATAAGCCACCACTTAGTAAAATATTTATTGGAAGTAAACTGCTTTTTTCAAGGTTTTTTATTTTTAAAAATTTTCAAGTAATTAGTTCTTAGTTTGACTGGACTACCTAAGTTGGTTTTACACAAGCATTCTAAATGAAGGTGATCTGTGGAAGGTAGTTATATGTCGCCGCAATGTCATAGAATATTCTGTCTGCCAAAAAAAAATTTCATTGCTGAAAAACTGTTAGTAATCTAAACGATCAGTCTGTAGATAGTTTGAAGTTGTTAGTCAAATTCTGATAAAAAAATATGTTATGGAGCAGGAATAACCAGTAACCTTTCTAAATTCTTCTTCATATGCCGCTTCAACCAACTTAAGCAAATGTTCAGCACAACCGGGTAAAAGTGGTAGACTTTCACTTTGGCTCTTTGCAGAACCTCCTGAAGCTGCTATTGTTTCTCGTTCAGAGTATACTAAGTAATTAAGATCCTCAATGACTCTTAATATATCACATTTTGGCTCCGTTTCTTCATCGTTTGTGTCTGATTTATGGTCCCCACCCATAAATGCTGAAGTTCGACAGGTATAATAGTGCTTTTTATCTTAGCTTTTATATCTTGCAATCAAATTTTTTTAAAGTAAACTTTGAAAAATTTTTTATGCATTGTTTGAGATTCACCTTGTAGCCGAAAAAAAAAGAAAATTTTTTCTACATCTCGACATACAGTTAATAACTATTCAGTCTGTTATGAACTAAATATCGCTTAAATATACCATTTCTTAAAAAATATTTTTGAAAAATCTACAACAAACAAAAAAAAAAACCGCCATTTTTATCTTTTTTAATTTTTTTTTTCATTATTTATGTGCATAGCCAAAACGACATTCAAATGTAAGCTTTTTGTGCCGTAATTTCTGTTACTTAATAAGCAGTTAATTAACAGGTTAACCAAAGATAATACCAATTAGAGTTTAGTGCAACAGACACAAAACTGTCCTCTAAACTGCTTTTTTTTTGTCTCGAGTAACAGTGCGAAAAACGACAGCTTTACTCGTTAAAAACAAAGTTTTTTTTCTAAATGTTAAATTGATAAAGAACTTTGCATAGAAAAATGCTTAAACAGTAGTTAGATTTTCATATTAATCAAGTTTGGTTAAAACATTTATGTGTCAAAGAGTAAACTGACAAGATTCTGTGACTGCTTCCATTAGTGGTCCCGTTGAAAACTGCAAAAACAAAGAAGCAGTTTGAACGCATTACTAATTATGAAGAATTTTTTGTGGTGTGATAAAATTAATCATAACAAACGATTTAGCATCTTTTATGGATAGGATTTACTGTAAACAATCAAAATGGTCAAAGAATGTGCAAAAGGAAAAAAAAAACTTACATAATTTTCGAGGAACTCGTAATCCGGTATTTTTTTCAATGCAGCAAGAGGAAGTTTTCCTTGCAACGTTCTTGATTTCCTTGACAAGACCAGAGTTCTTATATCAGCTTTGCACAAAACTTCTTTTATCGGAATTTCGTCGCATGATATTGATACATAGTTATCTGTATCCTAAGAATTCTGTTAAAGCAAAACAATTCTGCGAAATAGTTTATAGTTGCCAATCACAAAAAAATAAAAAACAACAAATAAACTTCATGAAACGAGGCCGTATCTTACCTGAGAAGCCCGAATTCGTTAGAATTCGTACCAAAGCAAAACAGTTGCTTTGATATTGATGAGAATATAGTTGCAGACGGTTTGCAATAAACGATATTCCAGAACCGTCAGTCCATCGCGGAATACTGTTGTTAAGTTGCAAACCGAGCAGTAACCAAAATTCTGAACCATTTGGCGTTACTTCCTGCAGGAAGGTTGCTGAAAATTTGTTTCAGAAGCAGTAGCTACAACTCGTTATAAAATGTTTTACTAGGAGTGATGCTGTAATATTGAGCGATATAATTCTTAGAAAAATTTCCTATGTTTTTTCAAGACTAGAAGCAACAATTTTATCTATAATAGCAGTAAAGACCCTTGCCAGTTTATTAAACCATAAAAGAAATATTACCTTTTAAAAATTCTTCTTCGACAGCGTCTTTCACAGAAACTATATGTGCGTGGTTCTCTTCACATAGATTTTCTGCTACTTCAAATTCTGCAATATGCAGCTGAAAAAGTGATTTACAAATTCTCTATCAATTTCTTTATAACAAATAGAAAAAATTTTTGCTGACTTAGATCGTATTGAAAAAATATTGCCTCACAATAAGTAAACTCATAAAAATGTACTAAAATAGAACACTAAAATACAGAAGAATAACGTTGACCAGTAACCGGTGTTAGGATTAAAATTTGGTGATACAGTGACTAAATTTGAAAGCTAAAAAGTTTTTTGTCTCATCTTTCTTTGATTGTATGGTCGACATTAGTTTTTCTTTTAAAAAATTTTTGCAAAAAAAAAAAA